TGAGTGATTGGATGAGAATCAAGGTCTTTCGACTTGTTTGCATGTTTAATTCTTCGCTATGCATGTGATTTTTAGATGTATGCGTAGGGACGATGCATGATCGTGGGTCCAAATTAGGATTATACATAGAACCTGATTTAGGAATTCATGGTATTAATTGCTGTTGGTGAACACCAATGGTAGTTAATAACCATGAATTGTGTCTAAAATGAACATGGGTAGACAATAAGAGGTATTGATGCATGTTTGTACAAAGGCCGACCTCGAGGCCACCTTTGAAATTTTTTGTGCCTTGTTTGTTATCTTTGATTGACTTGTGACGCTATGTACTTTGTGATTGTATATTGTTTGTTGTTGTTCTTTCTTTAGTTTTAGTTTTAGATTAGGGTTAGAATAGGTCCAAAAAGACGACGGTCTTGAATGTGGCGAAGGTCGATGTCCATTCCGACTCTATTCTTTGTATACAGCGATGATCAATGTCCATTCCGATCTATTTTCTTGTAAAAATTTGTTCATTACCCGACATATGTCTCGGGTTTCTTATACGCGTTGTATAAACACCCGACGAGTTGCGTTTTTCTTTCTTGCACTTAGAATTAGCTAGTTCTTTCAATACCTTGGTTGTTTACTTTACGCAATTCTTTTCAATATAATTATTTGTTTCTTTCTTTTCTAGACTAAGATAGGATTAGTTTAGAATCTTAAATGAAAACACAAAAACAAGATGCATGATCATCTAGTGGACTAAGACTTTGACATGAAAATGGTGAAAAAATAAATGCATAACAACTTAGATAACAACCATGATAAGTTTAGCAGTACTGAAAGGGCGTTAATAGAAATATTAACGTAAGCTAATCCCCGAACTCATGATCTCTGGTTTTTGTAGAAATCGAAACGAAACTCTCGTGTTTCGATTGGGTATTCTAGCCGACTCCCGGCTTAGACTAGTGACAACTCCTAAAAAAGATAAATCGATCCACTGTCACGCGAGGTATGAATTTAGGAAAAATCTACGTTCATGATCAATTGACCATATGGATGACCAAAAGATCGATGCTTCGATAAGCCGTCTTTTATGATGTGCCAAACGGACCGTCTGGATGACCAAAAGATTGACGTTTTGGTAAGCCATCTTTTATGATGTGCCATGTGGACCGTATGGATGACTAAAAGATTGACACTTCGGTAAAGCTGTCTTTTATGATGGGCATATGGACCGTTTCATGAACACTTACCTCTAAACTCGCTTTATCGAGTTCGACTCTCAAGAGGTAGGTCGCGACACAACCACAAACAACACAACATTAAGGACAACCATCACGACAGTCGAGGAAGGCTTGCCAACGCTCGAAACCACGTACGACCAAGCGCCGGCGAGTTTCGGCCCAGTCGGCCGAGACCGAAAAATAGAGCATGGTTCAGGTAAAACAGAGGGGGTCGACGGAGCTCCCTACCCGGCTCGGCGGTGGTGAATGAGGGCAAGTTTGACAGATCGGACTATGTCCGGTCGCCTCGCGCGCCTTCGGGCCAAGATCCTCATAAAATCAACCTCCAAATCACACAAAAACAAAAATGGGTCTTACCGTGAGCTTGGTCCGAGGGGGAGGGTAATGCCGGCCAAGGGCCATCGGCCGACACTTAGACGCAGTCGTACGCTAAGTCTCGCTCTTTGTTCTCACGCTCGAGCTTTCTCTCTCTCATGTTTTCTCTAAACCTAAACCGAACCTCCCTTCCTTCTTCTCTCTGTCCTTACGGCCTTTTAGCCGGTCTACCTACTCCTGTCACCTCCGTCCCCACTTTGCTCTGCTCCGTCGCTTCTTGCTTGGCTATGGAACGCTCTGCCGTTACTTGGCTTTGTAGCGTCCACAGCGAAGGAGAGAGGGAGGGGAAAGAAGAGAGAGAGAAGGAGGCCGGGCTAGAGAAGGGGAAAAAGAAAAGTGGACTGGGCCGAGCCCAACGAGAAGGAAAGAAAGAAGGAGGAAAACGGGGCTGGGTCGACCTGGCCCCAGTCCGCTCCTATTTCGCTTTTTTTCAAATAGATTTTTTGATAATTTTTTTAAAGGAAAATATGCTCTAATATACCCTATTAATGCAAAGGCACCTAATGTCTATATGTTATGAAATTTAATGAAAATATTTTTTTTAGGGGTTAAACATTAATCTCTAATTTTTTATGCAATAATTTATTAAATGGGTAATCAAAATTTAGGTGTCAACAAGCCTTCATAGTGGAAGTAGCAGTCAAAGTTTGTTTCACACTCCTCTAGGACACGCCTCCGTCAGCAAATATAAAACTATATCTAGATGTTGATTTCCTAGAATCAACAACCAATGAAGTCCGAATCCGAATAACCGACTACCTTTAGGTTGTCAATTCGTCTAAACATAAGCATGCAACCTTTTGTACCTTAAAGGTACCTTATCACATTCTTTATAGCTCTTTAATGGTCCATACCTGGATTACTCTGATATCTTCCTAACATTCCAACAACAAAAGCAATGTCAAGTCTAGTGCAAACCTAAGTATACATCAAGCTTCCCACAGCAGAAGCATATGGAATATTTTTCATTTGTTCCCTTTCTAGATCATTCTTTGGGCACTGGTTCAAATTAAACAGGACACCCTTCATGATAGATACTATACTTTGTGAATAATCTTTCATCCGAAATCTCTTTAAGACTTTATTGATATAAGTTTCTTGAGATAGTCCTAAAATGTCTCAAGGTCTATCCCTATGGATCTTAATGCCAATAACATAAGACGTCTCGCTCATATCTTTCATGTCAAAATTCCTAGAGAGGAATTGTTTCACCTAATGTAGCAACCTCTTATCATCGGTTGCAAGTAAAATGTCATCCACATATAGCATAAGGAACAAATTTTGCTCCAACTAACCTTTTGGTATATCCATTGATCCATGACGTTCTCTACAAAATCGAATAAAGATATGACATCATGGAATTTTCAATACCATTGGCGAGATGCTTGTTTCAATCTATATATAGATTTCTTAACCTATCACACCAAATGCTCACCATCAATAGAGGAGAATCCTTCTGGTTGTTTCATGTGAACCTCCTCCTCTAGATCCCATTGAGGAACACTGTTTTCACATCCATTTGATGTAATTCCATGTCAAAATGAGCAACCAATGCCAAAATGATACGAAGAGAATCTTTCTTACAAGAGAAAAAGTCTCCGTGTAATTGATTCCCTCTTTTTGAGTGAATCCTTTGCAACAAATATAGCTTTATATCTCTCAATGTTGCCCAATGAGTCCTTCTTTGTTTTAAAGACCCATTTATAACCAATGGCCTTCGCACTATTGGGCAACTCAACCAAAACCTAGACTTTGTTAGATGCCATGAAACTCATCTCTTCCTTCGTGGCATTGTACCACAAATTCGATTCACTGCAACTCATTGCTTGTAAATACGTTTCACGATCATTCTTAACTCCAATATTATAGTCAGCTTCTTGCAGATACACAATGTTATCACTAGGAATTGCTGATTTCTTCATTCTAGCATATGTTCTTGATGCAACATTAAGAAGATCTGCTAAAATAAATCTGATACTTTAGGTGGAAGGTTGCATCAACATTCTCTTGAGGAGCATGTTGTTCAACTGGTTGCTTTATAGTTTCTTGTCATTGCTGAACAATTGGATCTACGAAGTTAATATCAGCTGGTAGTGTAACTTCAATGATTGGTTGTTCAACAGCCAGTTGAACTTGAAGGGCGTTGTGAATAACAACCAATCTGATACTAGAGGTGGAATGTTGAGTATTTCAATGATCTTTCTTAGGAACAAGGTTCCGAGATTGATCACTCCCACTGATCAAGTCATTTTCAAGAAACTTAGCATTTCTTGATTCCACAATCCTAGTGGTATGAGATGGACAATAAAATCTGTACCCTTTGGACTTTTCATCATATGCAATGAAATACCCACTTACGATCCTTGGGTCCAATTTCTTTTCCTGTGAATTGTAGACTCTCACCTCAGACAGGCATCTCCAAACACGTACATGTTGCAGACTCGGTTTCCAACCTTTCATTAACTCAAACGGCGCCTTTGGAATAAACTTGGTTGGAACTCGGTTCAATATGTACACTGCCGTCTTAAGAGTTTCTGTCCACAAGGACTTAGGAAGTTTGGAGCTACTAAGCATACTCTGTACCATGTCCAATAAAGTTTGATTTCTTCTTTCTGCTACACCATTTTGGTCCGGAGAACCAGGCATGGTGTATTGGGCCACTATTACATGCTCTTCAAGAAACTTTGCAAATGGACCAGGTGCTTGTCTATCTTCAATGTATCTATCATAGTATTCCCCACCTCTATTTGATTTCACAATCTTAATTTGCTTCTCGCTTTGTTTCTCTACTTCGGTTTTAAATACATTAAAGGCATCTAATGCTTTGTGCTTATTATAAAGCAAGTAGTTGTTTCCTAGTTTGAATCTCACTCTAGGATTTTTAGTCATAAATAGCTCTGTGCTTTCTATTTTTCATTCATTTCTGTGCTTTCTTCGTTTGATTTGGTCTCTTCTAATTTCTTCTTTTTAAATTCAATGTTGATTTCGAATTTGCATTTGTTATATCCACAACACTTTGAATTAGGAATACGGAAAAATTGAGAGATTTCTCTCTGTGCCTTTGTGCATATACGGTTTGGGCGTGTGTTTTGTGAGTTGCGGGTGGTCAGGCATGGTTGTAACATGTTATCAAGGGGATGGAGCTGAGTTTTTGGAGAAATTTGTGACACTATTGCCAATTGCTCTAAGGTTTCATACTTTGCAGGAGTTTGTAAGGACTATAACAGTTTAAGTCAGTTAAATGATCCGACCAAAAAAAAAAGAGTGAGTTAAATGAAAGCGTGACTGATTATGCAATTGTTAAGTTGCTCATCCATTTTCTATGTCGCTTTTGGATGGTCTATTGTCATTCTATATATAGTAAGGAGAATGAAAAAGAAGACCAAAGCATTATCAGAACGAAACTACATGCTCAAACAAAGTACTCGGACATGCCAAGTCATACATAGGTTGCCCTAAAGTGGGCAACATACACACTCTGGGACTGAGCAAACAGCCCCTTCATTCATGTCCCGCCCTACAAAGTACTCACTGAGCACCTCTTATTGTGGACATGGGCCAGTAGACGGATATGTAGGTTCGCTAGTGTGCTCCATGGCAACACTCAAAGTTGAAATTGATCTTCATCATGCTAGGGCAATCCGGACATTTCATATTCTCCGGGATGTAATCCACTATAGTGGGAATGCAGAAGTCGTTGCACCTTGGAGGGTCATAGACCTGGTTGCGGAAATCCATGAAGGCCATGTCGAACGTCATACCGTTCGGGGTCACCTGACTCTTCCATTCAGTCTCGTATTTGGAGAAAACCTCTGTGACAGTAACTATCGAGTCGTTGGTCACGATCCGTGACCCCTTTGTGAGAACCACAAACCCGCCGTGCCTCTTGAAGTTGGTGTAGAGGTTGAGGATATCTCGCATGAGGGCTTCGGGCACATTCGCGTTGGTTTGCAATTTCAAGTGCATACAGCTCTCGAGGCGGCTCCAGAAGAGCGGCATGTTGACATTGTGGGAGACGATGGGGATGCCATCGTCTTTGATCTTCTTCAGTGGCTCCTCAATTTCCTGGATTGCCTTGGGGTCTTCAGATCCGTAAAGGAGGATGTACTTCTCGGACTTGATCTGATCAATCATATGAATTGAATGTGCGATCAATGAAAAAAAGTCTTCATATCTCTATGTTATAAAGTAAACTACAATTATTTCAAATTTCAAAATTTCCACGAAAATTCCAACAAAGCCTTTAAGTATAAGATGAGTAGTATGTTTTACTAAATTAGACACTACAATAAGGCGAAATGGTCTGCTTAGTTCATCTTTTATTCAACCAATCTCTCGATTTTAAATTAAAAGTAAGATTTTTCTCATCCTCCATCAGATTAATTAAGATTGTTTTCTATAATTAACTCAGAGCACATTTTTTCTTCATAAAGCAAAAGGGTATAAGAAAAGTTGGAAAAAAAAAACAAACTACTACTTACAACTTCATGTATATTAGGAAAGATCATGTCAGTCACCAAGAGCTCAAACCGGTCAATGTCAGGCTTCCAAAGGTCTGCTATTACTGAATCAGTGAAAGGGAATGCATGCCACCCCCAAACCCTAATCAAGCTCATGGCATTTTGGTTTGAGACTCTTCCTTGTGGATCCAACACAGTCACAATAGTCTTTTGCCTAAAGTGCCACTTTTCCTTGATCATCTTGATGGCCACCTTGTTGATAAGTGTCGGGGAGCACACCGAGTACCACAGCATTTGTGACTGTAGATGCTTGAACTGGTTGATCGTGTCCTCGCCTTCTTGGTCGATGATCGGGACCCACATGATCTCATAGCACTTCTCTTTGAACTTGGGCTCCTTGTAGATCATTTTAAGGATGGAAATGTCGTTAGGGCTCAAGTTTAGGTCGGAGATCAGCAGCATCACACATTTCTTGCGTAGGGACTCAACCTTATACTTTTTGTCCTGGAACGATAAACATGGATAATCAACATTTCACTCCTTTGGACACTACCAGCAAAGTCAACAAGACAAATTTACGCGAGGGCCAACTCGGTAAATATAGCACCTAGGTGAAAACAAATTTTATGTTTAGATTTCAACAAATCGTTGAAATAAATTCTTTAAAAGGACGAGTTTACGACCATAGCATCATTTTGGTATTCAACTAAAATTTGGCCAAAAATGAAAATCATTAAGTGATGTCGAATTAGAGAGTTAGAAGACTGAACCGGTTCCGAACCAATGAAGAGTCGCTGAGGATCGTCCTTGAAGTAAAACAAGGCCTTGATGAGCTCCACATTATCAGTGGGGGCATTGAAAATTCGCCCCAGCCTTTGATACTCTCTAATTTCCGCTTCGTTCATATTGAAAGTGACTAGAACTTTAGTCCAATAGTTAGAGCATAATTATCACAATCTTCAAAATTGAAAGTTTTACCCTTTCGGTGTTTGTAATCTTCAAAATCTGCCTGGATACTGTGGTTTATCTTGTTCACTTTCCGAGCAAAGGGTTGGAGATCTTTTCCCTTGTAGCTGAAAATAACAGGAAGCCCTCTTTAAGCATAAAGGAAAAAAAAAACTCTAAAAAATATTGAGTCTGTTGAAATGATTTTAGATGAATCATTACATGTTCTCATAAAATAAAAATTAAAAGCAGTAAACATGCTTTTTTCACAAAAGAGGCAAAAAAAGGGTTGATTAGTGAACCGTACTCATCTACGAGGTTGATGAGGCTGGTGAACTGAATCGAGCAAACTAGGACACAGATGATGATCTGATAAACGCTGCCTGGAATATCGATTGTTGTGGACAGCTCGGGAACATCTTTACTGTCATGCTCGAACTCCACGATGCACTCGGTCATGCTCAATATGATCTTAATGATATCATTCAGATCTCTAAACACTTGGATCTTTTGCACATCCGGGGACTTTGTGATTGCAGGCAACCCCTTCAGTATGGCCATCGACTTCGTGAGCTTGCCCGTTGGTTGAGCGAGTAGCCAAAAGTCGCTGTAGTATAGAGCGAGCGACGACAGGGTAATAACAGCCTTAGCGACCCATGAGTAGGTCAATAGCTTGCGAAAGAGCGATTCAAACGTTTTGCGCACATTTTTGGTGTCTAATGCCTTGCATGTGATCTGATGACATGATCATGCTAATGTTGTTACAAGGGAATAGTTATTTCCAAGCTCTAACAGTAAAACAGCCAAAACAAGTGTCATTCTTTACTTGAGGAAAATCGATTATTATGAGGGACATTATAAAGGACCTGACAAGCCACTTCGTTGATTGCTGCAATGGGTGGATTGAAGCCTTCCTCTGGTGGCTTGAATGCAGTGCTTGCAGATCCTTGAGTGCCCTACGGTGTATGTATGTATAAACTTATTGTTAGAGAGAGATTAAACGAAATGACGAGAAAAATTCTTGGTTTTCAACTGCCAAACCAAGGAAATCTACAGTTATCCATAGAAATCGCTTCACGTATAGACCTATGATCAGAATTTCATATTTTAAAACATTGTCAGTGTTTATTGAAATGTTAGTGATGAAATTAATAATTATTAAGGGTGCATTTTTTTTGGGCAAAAAGTCAAAGATGTGTAAAATTTTATCAATAAAAAGATTATTTGTATTGTTTAGAAAAATTCATCAATGGCAACAATATATGCCTAATCATTTTTAAGCGGTATAATTGCTCGTTTTTTAAGAAAATATATTTTAAATCATTCTTAATTTACGAAACGGATGCATCCTCAAAGTAAAACTAAAAGTATGCCTGTCCAAACCCTGCGGAAGAAGAGTACAAATGAAAATCCTTAATAAGATATAGGGTATAATCAATTAAATGAGTAATAACTTATTATGAGTTCAATTTAATCCCCTACGTCGTATCACATTAGTGTGTCGTCGATTTATGGATAAACTGATAATCTCATAATTAGATCGATATAAGCCCACCATAAATTGACTGCCAGTGCCAGTGGATTGCTTCATGATTACGAAAAGGAAACTTTATGGCAAATTTTATCTAATTTTCCCCGTTGAAGATTCTCTGGCAATTCGTCCTTTTGCAACGTAGTAGAGGGAAATGGAAGAGCGCATGCGGAATATGAAAATTGTATATATTACTTGTGGGATGATAACCGATCGAGTTATTTTCTTCTCTGGCCAATCAAATAATACCGTTGTTTTCTTTTGACCCTTCAACAGATCTACTCATCGAAAAGGACTCTTCGTAGCTAGACCCTTTACTAATTCCAGTTAGGCAAATGAAAAACAGTAACTATAAGATGCTGCTTGGGTGATATTTTCTTTATGACGGCGGTATATGTTCTAATTGAAAGGAAAAGAAACCGACGAATTTGCTTCATCCAAGCGCTGAATAGTGCTTCTTGTTGCAGTACATGGATAATACTTTTTTCAGATTAATTGCTTTATCTTTCTCTTTTCTCCTTGGCCACGCAAAAAAGAAAGCAAGTAGAAAAGAAAGCGCGGTCGAGAGATCGAGAGAAAGAGATGTGTCAGCCCCTTCCTGTGTTTGATTAATTGCAGAGTCTCCATCACAGTGTACGTGCCAGTAAATATGTTAGGGTTCACGAAATATTTGCTCCAGGAACATATACTCTAAGATATTGGAAGCGTGAATGGGAATGACATTGGTTTTCTATATCACATGTGAGATTTTATGGACCACTGTTAACTATTTTAAAAGTTTAAACTGTTAGACGAAAGCGTGATTTAATATTTGAATATTCTAACATTTCCCCTCATGCGTAATAACGAGTGAGCTAGATAGTTCTTATTTTGTTCAAAGTTCTTATATGAAGTGGAAAAGTTTATAAAAGTTGCTATGCTTACGAAAATGGTTAAATGCTTTGGTCTCTCCCCCCGCCTAACATCCTAGGTCCACTGTAGTTGACGACATTTGGGGTTTATTTGGGAAAAAACGGTCAAATTTACGACGGTTTATGACATAGACACACCCTTTTGATACATTGCCAAGCTTTACCCAGTAAAAAAGAACTATTTTGGAGTCTATCTCCCTCACACACGCTCGTGCGTACACAAAACATGCGGGATTATTTCAGTTTTACCTTAGGGTTGACGACCGAGTCAACAATCACGGTAGCTTCACTGAGGGTGTTGTTGATGAGAAGGAAGAGAGACTGGACATCGACGTCTCCTTCATCGGGAGCGTGAGTATCCAACATCTCCTTCCTGAACTTCTCATCGTCGAAAATGGAGAGCAGGTTCTTAGATATGTTCTGGTCACCCAGAAAAGGAATGATGCTATCCCAAATATTGTTGAAGAAGCTCGCCATTGTTTTGAATCTCAAAGAGGAGAGAGTCTAGGCTTTGGAGCGTTTAGAGAGAGCAAATCTGGAGGAGGGAGAGTGTGCAAGTGGTGTGGTGAGGAAAGAAGTTAATAAGCCTGCCCAATTTATAGCCGCAGATCCAAGGAAAGAGACAAAAGATAGAATATGTTCACTAGAAGTCCTAAAACTTGCCGCGAAAGTACAACTGAGTTCTAAAACTTTCAAAACGTGCAATTGAGTCCTAAAACTTGTCAAATTCGTTCAATCAAGTCTTAAAATTAACACCGTCAATTTGTCTAACGGAAAATGCTGACTAGCATTTTTAAATGAATTTATCTCTCATATGTGGAATTTTTTATTATTATTTATTCAAATATTATTTAAATTAAATTTAAAAACTAAAAAAAATCTAAAATTTACTTAAAAAACAAAACTGAAAAAAAAAAAGAGAGAAGCAGCTTTCAGGTGGGAGTTGTGGCTGCCCATCACGGGAGGGGCCGGCATAGGTTGCCGGCCCTGGGCGAGGGTGGCCGACCCTCGCCAGCCCTAGGTGAGGTTTAATTACCAAACCGAACAGAATGGTTTTTTCCTGCAAGAAACGGTTGTTGGGGAAAATAGCAGGGATCAGGATACCGCCCCCGCCCCCGCCCCCGTCCTCGCCCCATCGCCGTTTGTATGTTTTTCTAAAATATATATATTTTGTATGTTTAGTTAATCTAATATAGATGATAATTACAAATAATATATTCAACTATAGATTAATATTACATATATTAAGTAAAAGAATATAGAAGGTAATTAAACTAGAATATTGAAATATAAGTTCTCATTTTAGTTCATGATATCAAAGTTATCCATTCAAAATTATGATTTTCATAATTAAAGTATAAATAATTTTATTATGTGAATAAATTTTCATTTAATTTTACATTGATTCATATATTACAATAAAATAAACTACCCAAGGAATAAAATGATATATCTCCATTATAGATTTATCTATATCTACTAGCAAAATTGGAAGAATGAGCAAAACAATCCTTCGTTATTGATTGATGTTATATTTAGGGTGCAATTGTTTCACGGAAGATGAATGATTTGAAAAATATTTTTCTAAAAACGATCGCTTATATCTTTAATAAAAATGAATGAACAAAAAATATTTTCATCGTCCACGAAAATATTTGGACATAAATTATTGAAAATAATAAAAATATTTTTCATTGATTAATTATTTAAAGTGATACGAGCAATCATTTTTAAGATAATGTTTTCCAAATCGTTTATTTTTCACGAAACAAACGGAGGCCTAAATATTTGCAAGTCTTTTCTTATGATCTATTGCAAATATATATGTCGAAACAAGGATTCACCAATTTCTTTAAAAATATTGCTAGAATTTTTCACCTTAGGCAGGGCGGGTCCCTATTGCCCCCCGCACGATGCCACGCCCCGCACCGTAGAGCAGTGGCCGCGCGAATTTCCCTGCGGCTGGATGGGGACAGGAACATGTAAAGAAATGTCTACAAAGCGCGGGTCAGGTTACTGGCTTTAACTGCACTTTGTGCATTAATTATAAGATACTTCATTATATGATTTAAATCTCATGTTAAAGTCGTAAGAAGCTATATTGCAGAATATTCTATTTAACAGCAAATTTTCATTTACTTCCAGGATGGAATTCGCATAACATAGGACTCTAAGTTGCCGAATTGTTATAATAACTTCAACCATTGGAGTTGCTGAAATTTGGAGTAAATTATAAAAGTCTTCACACAAAATAGACTGTTGATTTAATTTATCAATTTTTATTTGCAAATAGAAAGTGATATTTTCTGATAAGTGCTCGCCTAATAACTGCGGTTTGATTGCTCATTCACATGTTTTAAAGTTCTAAATGACATCATTTGTAATATCCTCATTCATTAGCTGAAAATTTTCATTTTTACGAGATTATTGAGTTTACAATTATAAATTCGTGTGTGCTTATTTTTTTTATTTGCCCATCTTTGTACATAATATTTTTATTTTATTTATTAGCTTTATATTCTTAGTCGTGGCCACATATCACAGAGTAATAATTCTCGTAATCATTGGGAAGGCTTACCAGCTTTTATATGTTCTGAAATTTAGGAAATCATTTAAGAAAATAGAGGACCGTGATTCACGTGTCTGACTAGGTGTAGGTTACTGATTATTCTAGAGAACTCAAACATTGAATCGCCTCTTTTCCTGATGATATGGAAAGATAGGACAAGGCGCTTTATGTACACCTTCAAGTAAAGAATTACATAAGTTGCTAGACACCCCTAAATTTGAATTTTATATTTGGGTATTTCCTTAATACCTAATGAGCTAAATAGTTTGCTGGTTACCGAATATATATTTACTAACAGAATCACGTATTGCATTTCACTAATCTCGGATAATCGATCAGCAATTTTACCTGTGGCTCACTAGTATTATGTATTCACTCTCTTGGGACATTATTTCTGGAAATCGAGGGCTTGAGCCTCGTCTTTTGTGTTTGTGAAGAATGAGGTGTTTGGAACTTTTTGAGCATCCTATTAATCAAATCTCACTTGATGTCTCATGCACATAAAAAAAAAATACATAGCAAGGAACCCACATTTTCGAAGTGGCCTTTGAAAAGAATACGAAAATATGATGATTCAAACCCACATTATTTCTTTTGTGTTTTGCCAAACGCAAGAATGTGAATGCTTTTGTTGGTTCGCTATTCACGTCGGAAGAAGATGAAATGGTCAAATTGCAAAATGAAATGAAAACACATGGGCATAACTATAAACATGACTAGAGGCAATTATCGGCTTTTAGATTATTATTTTTAATAATATGACATCTCTAAATATTTTGACTTGACTAATCTTTCTAAATGCACACAAATAGATCATTTCACATAACTTTATTCATGGAATGATGGACGTAGTCTCAAAGATTATTCCGAGTGGATGACCTTATAATTTGAGCTTAATATTGATCACATCTAAATCAATGACTAACACCATCACTTACGGTAAGAAAAGAAAAAAGACGTGTTAGGGGACGTCAGCAAATCACGCAAGCCATTATGTCAGAACACAAGGGAAAGAGAAAGGTAGCGAAGTCTCAGAAACATTTTATGCTGTCGTGTTCCAAATTGAAAAGAAAAATTAATTTTGTTTCTCTTTCGAGACAATATCTTTCCATTTTCTATTAGAAAAGTGTATTATCGATTTACGTTTTATCGAATTTTACCATGAAATTTCATTTTTTTTTGTCCTCGTGAAAAACTCTGGTCTTACTTTCTTTTTAAATCAGCCATCAAGTTCCTCATTTTCTCCGGTGCACTCTACTTTATCCCTCTCTCAACCACCATCATATTCTTTTCTTAGGTGTATATATTAATATTAATACACATTGCTAATTATCATTTACAAGGTTGAGAGCGTGTGATTACCGTAATTTACCTCTCCTAGGTGCATTTAGTATCTCCTACGCGCAGATGGTAATTCCGCTTGTGGTTCTATTGAGCCCAACTTTGCATTTTCCCATCACACTATAATGTACGCCGATGCTGGAGTTTCTTTTTGTACACGCGGAGGGTATACTCTTATACTAGTATATATAGAAAAGGAAATGCATGTTTTTCCTTATTAATAAGGATGAGAGTGTGCAATTAGCAAAAAATACTATATGTCTATATTGAATATTTGATGGATCGCATCAATGACAAAATACGACTAGTCTTATCTTTTCTTCTTTCAATCCTATTCTATCCTCTTTTTTTTCAATCTTATCACCTTGAAAATCCCGACGGCTCAATGCAACTTAAAAACGTGAGTATCTTACAAAAAGGAAGAGTATTCTTAGTAATCTATGTAACGAAGTGGCATAGATCTGATATTAACTTCTTTGAATGCACAACAATCGTCAATGAGTCAATACCGTTAGCGATAACGGATAGCCACTTGTTTTGTCACTGTTAGTGTGTGAATGGGCAAGTCACACGGAATACATCACTAGCATCCACGAGAGACGTGTTTTAGGACAAGTGCTTTCACATGGGTCCGTTGCTATGTTGTGATGTTATATTGTTGTGCCATAACTATGGCTAAATTATGGTGGTTGGCTTCAATGTGCTCTAGCCATAGTTGTTTAGGCAATTTGGAGCATATTTGATCCTTCTAAACAAAGATAAACACATACAGAAAAAGAACCAAAAATAAAATAAAATAAAAAAGAATTGCTCGGACAAATCTGTTGTGTCAACCTCAGACAGACCTCCATTGCCTTTGTCAACCCTAAACCCAGCGTGAGTCACGAGATACTAAATGCATTCTCTGTCAACATCTAGACGGGTGCTGAAAGAGAGAGAGGCAATGGAGTGGCTAAGCACGAACGATGACAATTACAATGATGTCATCGGTCCCCTTAACCACCGGAGATTATTTGCGAGGACCTCCTTGTCCTTTTTAAAAACAAAAGATAATGATACAAATGGTTCTTGAACTTTGACCAAATATGCAGTGTGGTTTATGAATTTTAGCTCAAAAAGGACAATATCGAATATTTTCATACAGTTGAGGAATTTAATTGAACATGTATAAAAAATTCAGGGATCACATTAAACAAATTAAAATTCAGGGACCAGATTGCATATTGGACCAAAGTTCAAGAATCAATTGTGTTATTTGCCCTTCTAGGAAGTGGAACCTTCAATCGCAACGTTTTGGGCATAAAGTTCTATAAAACGCGGACATATCGTTTTCTTGTATTAAATCCAAGGCGTCTTTCTCGAACTAGCTGTCAGGGTTGTAATTTATGATATGAAAAGACAATTCCTAATAAATATGGAAGAAAATGCAGCTCGAGAATTCGAAAATTCAAGTGCCGACCTAAAAAATGTCAAGACATGTTGAAAATCATAAAAAAAAAAATTATGACTGAACATAGACATCAAAATTTATATGTTTAAAAAGCTTCCAACTAAACTCAAATTTCAACCAAAAAAACTTAAATTTCGAATGCTATGAAACATGTAAAATATAGAAGTTAGAAGTCAAGAGACCCTT